GTGGAAGATTTTCCTTTCTAAATTGTGGTTAAATGCTAATAATCTGCTTTAGTAACAAGGAATCTGAACGTTGAAACGTTTCAGAGGAGAATTATTTCGACTTCTTTTTAAATGTTGGTCATAAAAAAAGAGCCCAGATTAAAAAAAAAAAGAGAAAAAAAACCCATAGTGTTGAACTCTATTGCAGAGAAGATGGCTTCAGAGAAACTTTCCACTGAATGCAAAGCAGCCGTAGCTGCTACTCTTACAGTTCTACACGTGTATCCTGAAAGAGACCTTTTGAGTCTTGGGTGGTTTATCTTTTGTTATTACCCCAACCTAATTCCATCCCTTCCTCCAAAAATGTTCCTCCCTTCTTCCTGTGCCCTTTGACCCCCCCCCCCCCCCACACACACACACACTCTCTCTCTTCCCTCCGGTGCTGCCTCTGTCTTCAGGTTTCTCGCTCATCGATAGCACCGGCAGTGTCATTGATCATTTCCCTATATGGTGACCGGAGCGGTGGATTTTTCTGGAGCTCATTTGTAACGCTCCTGCATGAGATAATCTCACTGGGAAGTAAACTCTTGAACCCTACTTATATTTGGAACACCACCTCCAGTACTTAGCCTGTTGTTTTTTTTTTTTAACCGAGTACATGCCCCACATTCCTAGCATGGGGGTGGAGGGGGTTATAGAGGGGGTAGAGAATTTCGCAAGAGGAACATGACTGAAAGTGCAGTGTCGCAATCCGGACACGACTGTGTGAAGCTCCACGCTGCTGGAGGAGTGAACGCGTAAGGCGACGGGATCTAAATATATTGCACAGTAAAGATATTACGCAATGTATTTTTAGTATTGAGAAAGATGAATGTGGAAACGAAAAAATGAAGTGTCACAATCTAGACATGACACTCGTATTATTACACACTTAAAAAACATATTATTCATTTGCATATTAAATAATAAATTGCTGATTTTTTTGGGATTAAAAAGACGTTCTACTCTGCAAACGAAGTAAAAATGAAATGCCAAAACTTTTATCCTCATCTACAAATCCGGATTACAAGAACACGCAAATTGTAAAAACATCCAGGCGTAAATGTTAAAACACCATATTTGCATATTGGAAACGGATAGGCTCTTATATTTTATGATGTAATAACTGTTATATATTTATATTATTTTTTCACCTAGACTTATTTCACAGAGATGATATTGTTTATCTGTTTCTTTAAGGAATTACAATTTCCACTGATATTTGTCTACTTTGGTTGAAATGAACTCTTCTGACAGGTTTTAATAACAAATAACATTCGATGAAGTTTCATTTATAAAGTGACTTTAACGGTACAATAAGGAGACAGACCTTTAACAATCCTTTTTTTTTTTTTAAATGTCGTGTTTATTAGAACAAACTACTGGCTTGAGGTGATCTCACGAACAATTACGAGAATGTGTTATGGGTAACAATGATTGCATTTTCAAACGAATTAAGACAGAAAAAAGTGATAACGGTGTGATAACCTCAAACCTTAGACTGCACAAAAACATGCAAGTTTGCTTGTGCAAATTCTTTTCACGCAACCTGATCTCCCGTGTCATAATATGCAAATTATTTACTGGAAATCTAGTGCCGCGACTGAGCCGGGACTATCCTAAACTTTGCCTTTTGCTCTGGTGGTAATACTGTATGTCCTTCAGTAAAAGTGTAATTATATTAAAATTTATTCCCAAATTAAAGCTTTAAATGCTCGAGTCAGTTTCTCCTCTGAACATAAATAAGTTTTCAAAATAATCTTTATATTACTTTATATTACAGAGATGATGTTCAAGGCCATTTTAAGCTGAGAATAGCACAGAGAAAGAAGTAAACAAAAAAGTGACTGATGTTAGAACATTTAAACTTAAAAAACTAAAAGGTGACGTTTGTCGATATCTCTTTCCCACCATCTCTGAGCTACTATGAGGGCTTTTGGAGCTCAAGTTTCAGAATAAATATTATTTGTATTATTTTATGAAATCTAAAGAGTCTCATTAGTGTAGAGAATAAGTGTTAAACTCAACAGAATCTATAGGTGCATCATCTTGGCAAGAGTAAATATATAATGGCTCAGGAAAGAAAAACAAGTATGCTGTAATGCAAAATGTCCCATTTTTTTATTTTTATTTTTGGAACAGCAATAAGGAGGGTGACATGATGGTGTCCCTGGTTTTATCCGGAGCTCTGTGTACTGTCTGTGTGGGGTTTTCCATCCCAAAATCATGCCAGTAGGTCAACTGGCTATATGCTAAACTGCCTCTAGATGTGAATGAGTGCGTACATGGTGCGATGATGATACACCGCCCGGGGGGGCGTTCTCACCTGCTGCTCCCAGGATGTCCTCTGAATCCATACAACGTTTACTCATTTGCTCATTTTTTAAATTGGTTTTTCAATTTTCTGAAAGAAGTCTTCATTTTAATTAAGTGTAATCACTGATATGCTGAAGTTTGCAGTGAGGAGGTGATGGAGGAAGTTGTGCTTTGTGGTCTGCTGCATTTCTTTTCTGATTAAATTCAAGAGACTTCGGGGAAAGGATTGCTTATAGCTGCGATCAGATCAGCTTAACAGGAGCTCACAACATTACGAGCTCATAACATTAGGAGCTCGCAACAGTAAATGCAACTACAGGGTGAAAAAACTCAAGAACCAATGAGAGTGAAACTATATATACTTAATTTAGTATTTGTTGTTTACAGCATATGCGCTATACGTTATCTCAGCCTCTGTGTTACGTTTTTGCAAATATTTGCTCAACATATTCCCACTGGTTCCTGACTTTTTGGACACCGGTACAGTTGAAAAAGGCATGACATGTCATTCTTTAATAAATAAAACTATAATCCTCAGCAAATCGCTGTGGTATAAGAGGAATAAAACACTTCAGGATATGCTGCTATTGGAAAATGATCAACTTCAAGGTGGTAAGAGGAACTCTGCCTTGTGTCAGGCTGCATCAAACCACCCTGTCATTGATTATTTTCCTACAAAAGCACACCCCCGAGTGTTTTATTCCTTACCTATCAGCTTGACATAAGCACTTGGAGGCTCATAAAATTCATAAAAGGGTATTACTGGGAACTTTTCTAAAAGAGAAACCCTCGAACCCTGGAAGAGTTCTGCATACAATCTTTCAGGGTTTTCCCACATGAACAAACCTTTTTGGGTGCTTCCTGAAACGACAAAGGGATCGACTAATATATCTATCCTTGTTGATGTATTATTAAAATGAATAGGTCACTTGATGTTTTTCTTGGCAACTATGTATAAAAAAAGACATGATATCCTTTAAGGGTTCCAAAAGGAATAAATACTTGGTTCCCTTCTGTTTTCCTCGTACATGTTGCCATTGAGTCAAATTTATTATAGCATGAAAGTATTAGTATTCTTGTTTGCTGAACATAGATTTGTCATCTGGTAAACGTTACCAGAGTTAGGGTTCATGTAAATCATAATTTATTCTATCTCCACCTGTGTGAGATATTACAGTTGCTGCAGCTGTAAGCAACTGAAAAAGTGCTTATCCGTCGCTAATAAAACGTGTGCAGTTCCCCTTGTAATCTGTTTATTACACCAATCTACTGGCTTTATAACCCAAATGGAGCGTCCATTCCATAAGTCAAGGTATCTCTTGGTGACATTTTAACCCAAATTCTTCCTCTGGGGAGAAAAAAAAACAGCCCATAAGTAGACTTCAGAGGAATTCCTCACTTCACCTCACACCCTACTCATGGAATGTTCACGGGGTCAAAGGGCAACAGGCTCAAGGGGAAAACCAATCTTGTGCAGTGGCGATGAGGTCTTATTTAAACAAGCCCAGAATGCTAGACATAGTCCTGAAAAAGACAAACCTGTAATTAACATTTTCATCAGCAGGCACAGACGTTACCTGTCATTTGCCCTTTTTATGTCACAGCTATATTTAGACGTCTTTATGTTTAAGATTCAATGACTGTTGAATGCTTTTTTAATATAGCCAACTAATTTAACCACCTGGACCAGTTACGGGCAAAAGTTTACAATCCTTTCTTAATTTTCGCACAGTTTCAGTGTATGACATATAGCAATGCATCTTTTTTTTTGCTTCAGAGTTGGTTGTAATTTTCTGTAATGTAACTGTTCTGTTTGTTTTTGTGCGCTAATTACTAATTCACATAACTCTACTCTCCTGCACGTATGTGTGACAAGCTATAAATATCGCTTTTAAAGAAAATGTAATCTTGTCTGTGAAAGGCTGAGCCAAAAAGGAGTAAAAAAAAATATGATGTGTTGGTTGTTGTTTTTTTTCTTGCTAAAAGTAATAACCAGAATCTTTATAACAAAACCTATAAACAAAACCTATATACTGTGCAGTAACTGGACTATATATATATATATATATATATATATATATATATATATATATAAACCCATTCAGATTACACACACCTACAGTATCACACGTATTAATCATTGTATTTTCTTTAAAATTTGTTTATTTTGTGTACTTTATTTAACCGTATTCTACTTTACTTCCTTAATTGATTTTATCTGTATACTTGTATGCAAATAGCCATTTGCTCTTCTGTACAGTTGAGAATATACTGCATCACAGATCATACCGCATTATAATCACTTAAAGCGATTTGCATCATATTTGCATGTTGTGGAATAACAACACAGCCTCACAAGGACACACTGATAGGAATGTGCACCGATAGAAAAAGTTACAAATGCATAAAGAAACCTGGTTTTAGTGCGTAGCTTTTCTTACAACTTCATTCAGATGAAATGAATGCTGTCACTCATTACAATTCGGAGATCACGACAGAATGATAATGTTGTTCTTCTTCTTCTTTCGGCTCCTGATAGGGATCTCCACAGCAGATCTTTTTTTTTTTTTTTTTTTACCCAAAGTTTTTACCCTTCCTGATGCAACCCTCCTCAAGTTTTTCAGGGCATGGGACCGGCACTGGGAGTGCACTGTGTCGTGTGGGGTTGGTTCCCTGGGACTCGAACCCGGGCAACAGCAGTGAGAGCGATGTGGCCTAACCACTAGTCCTCCAGGGACCCATCATGACAGAATGTCAACATGATGTTAATATGTATAAAAAGATATAATAATCTTTAAGGTATTCCACAAGAATAAATACTTGGGCTCCCTTGTCCATGACGAAAATGATTATAGCATGAAGATAAGCTTGTTTGGTAACTAGTATTCTTGCTAGCTTTCTACAGTCTCATCAGCTACTAAACATTATCGCTGGGGCTCTGAGTAAGAGCTCACATGAATATGAATCATTCATTATTCGTACGAAAACTGCAAAAGTGCTTGCAAATAAATCGTCCATAGCTATAAAAAGGCGAAATCTACAACTTTTTCTATTTAAAGGGTTCTACTGTATTTATAAACCTACAATAGTGTTTGCTTTTCATCGAAGGTTCCAAGCAGAACCTCTTTAGGACCATAACAATACCTAACTCAGCAAATCTAAGAGTCTATATCGTCTGCAAGAAAGTGTAAAAGAGACAGATAACAACTTCCTAAAATCGAATGAAGTTAAATTCAAGATTTAAATGATATTTTATTAAAGGGAGAAATATTTAACTCAGCTGAGAAATGAGGATTTATGAGTAAAAAACTAGTTATTATCTGATCATTCATCATTTGAAACCAGTTAACCGACCATGTGTTTGTGTTTCTTCCCAAAGATTACTGTAATCTGAAACGATCACAGTGTATACACAGTTTTATAATTGCTCAGATGTGCCATGTGTACACTCATAGAAAGAAGGGTTTCTCAAGAGGTCTTTGTATAGCTGAAGGATCTTCACTTTCTAAAGAGTTTAAAGAACTTAAAAACTTTCTAAAGAGTTTAAGGTCACAAACAAACAAACAAACAACAAACAAAAAACCCTTAAATAAATATGCCTGTTTTTATGTCACTTGAAGTTGTTTCTTTATTTTCCATGTATGTCTATTTGATTCATGATTGTATTAATATTTGTTATTTAGTTGTTTATATGTATTTTAAACTTTACTTACTTTTCATCTTAGCGATTTTTTTAAAATCCAGTTCTTTGTACTGTGCTCTTTCTTTTTAAGTTAAATGAAACACACTGAAATGTGCTTCATTGAATTATTATAAGTGATATGGAAATCAGATATTATTATTATTATTATTATTATTATTATTATTATTATTATGGAATGTTTGTTCTGTACAGCAAGTTAAATAAAACAAAAGGATGGAAAACATACTTAAACAATATATGTAACTGACAAAATGAGAAGAATCATAGTTTTGAACACACACTGCTAAAAAAAAGTATGAAATTAACATTAGAAGGGGAGGATTTGGGGAGTTCTATGTTTAGAAATTGTCTGTTAGCATGATTTATCACATTAAACAGATTTTACAAATATTGTTTTAGAATTTATTTACATTTGTCAAATACAGTAGAGTCCAAAAGTCTGAGACCACATTGATATCTGGGATTTTTTTTTTTCCAATAAAAATAGGAAATAAACAAAGTTGTAGACGTTTGAAATATTTAAAACAAAGCAATTAAATGTTCAATATCTTGAATATTTAATTTTCAAGATTCTGCACTAGGTCCCTATATAAATGTAAGCAGGTGTGTGATATTGACCATGTCAACTGCTTTGTAAAAAAGGTCAGATTTTCCTCATGTCTAATCTGTTCTGTTGAAGCCTGTGTTCAGACGACACTCCGATGGATTTGATCTAAAATGGATCGAGAGGTTTCGCACAAACTTGTGGAGTCCATGCCAGCTCGAGTGCACACTTCATTAAAGCAAAAAAAGAGGACGAACCAAATACTAAGAAACTCTGAAATTCAGGTAAAAATATCAAAGAGTCTACTTTTCACTCAGGATTTTGTCAATAATATCATTTGTAAAGAAAAATGTTGTATTAAATGAGAAAAGAATACAAAATAGAAGCATTTTCAGAAATGCTCTCAGACTTTTGGACCTGTGTGTATTATATAAATTATAGTAAACAAAAGAAGAAAAATGGTGCAGTTATGATGCATTAGATGCTGCCATAGCCATTTACTGTATATACCTTATATATTATCTGTTGTATATTCTGGCATTATTTTAAGTCGCATTCCAGTGTACCATGTATTTGTGAGTAATGGCTGATCATTTGTTTAATAAAGTCTCTGATTCGGAAAACTCATGCCAAAAACCCTTGGTCCTCACGTATGTTTTCCTCTATAGGTAGCCTGCCAAGCTGGAGTGCTCCAATCCCCACAGCGCCGTGTGAATTCCTGTACACTCGTCCAGCCAGTAGTGTTTTGGTCCTTTAACCAATAAGTGATCAGGGGTGGACCTGAGAAATTCCACAGTCCCAGTGTCTCTGCTTTGACCTTGCCAACCCCAAACCCCCTCCGTTCTGATAGCGTGGCTCCTGAGCATCGTGGGCATTCTTCCCAAGTGCACAGATTTCTTATAAAAATAGATCAGTTCAGTGCAAACATGAGTGCTGCTTGTCCAGCATAACCTAAATACCAATTTAAACATAATGAGTTTGTGGTTTAACTTGGGATTAAATTGGATGAGTGCACCCAAGAGCAGAAACTTTGGGTTTATGCGAATGTCAAGCTGTCACGGCTGAGCTCTTGTACTGTAATTGGATATATAAAAATCATTTCAAATATTCGTGAAATTCGTGAACCCATTAATGTGATAATTCACACTGAAAGAAAAACGCTAAACAGCCACTGGCTATAACGCCTTCTGACATTCCAAGATAATTTGGGTCCCTGGTGTTTTTTTGCTGCTGTGTGTTTGCAGCTATGAATCTTCTCGTCTAGTCAGTTTGACCGTATTGTGTAAGTTCATTTCCATGCATTCCTTATGTTTCATAGTATTTCAAAATCGCTAAATAAATTTAGTTAAAGATGCTACAACATTTACTTATGCTATTACAGCCTTTGTGTTTTCAGTCTTGCTATTCATTATCATAAGTATTTCCAAAGCTTATTTTTCCACATATCTAGCTAAATCATAAGCTAAATCAAACCCTGTCTCATATAACAAGCCTATTTCACGTTAATAGACTATTGTTAAATGTACTAGGTATGTTTAAAAGTTTTAGATCTTTATCACAAAAGAGTCAGAAAATATATTGATATAATTTTGATGCCCCAATTGACAAAAAAAATTAAAATAAATTCTGCTCATCCAGTTTAACTTAACACATTAAATGTTTCTAATGAAATGTTTGTGATTTGGTGCAATTTGTTGGTTGGTGCTGTATTTTCACTATGGTCGTGAGAGGTTAGTGGTTGTCTGTGCTCTAATGTCAGCGTTGTTACAGTGGTGTTTAATCAGAGAAAAAACATTTCGACAATCTAAAACATAAGGGTTAAGGTTTCACTGTTAAAAATTCAAATTCAATTTTTGTCACATGCATAACCATACACAGTACAACTTGCAGTGAAATGCTTTTTACAACTGTTCCAACATAGCAAAGAAAATATAGAAAAATATCAAATAGAAAGAGAGATATATACCTAAAAAGAATATATATATATATATATATATATATATATATATATATATATATATATATATATATATACACACACACACACGTGTTTTCAGTCTTGCTATTCATTATCATAAGTATTTCCAAAGCTTATTTTTCCACATAACTAGCTAAATCATAAGCTAAATCAAACCCTGTCTCATATAACAAGCCTATTTCACGTTAATAGACTATTGTTAAATGTACTAGGTATGTTTAAAAGTTTTAGATCTTTATCACAAAAGAGTCAGAAAATATATTAATATAATTTTGATGCCCCAATTGACAAAAAATAATTATGTATATATTCTTCTTATATTTAAAAAAATAATAAAATAAAATAAAAAATATGTCTATATATATATATATATATACACACACACACATAATATTATATCATATATAAAGAAAATTATAAAGAGAAAATTTAAATATAAGAAGAATATATACATAAAAAATATATGAAGGAGATTAAAAAAAAAATGTATAGGAATATGTCTATAGATATATGGGTGGTGGCAGCAGCAGTCTGACAGTACCACTGTACAGATATGTGCAGTTTGTGCCGGTAGTGCAATGTAATGTACTGTAATGTACATAATGTGCAATGTGCAAAGGTGAACGATTCTTAGTCCTTGGTGTTGTACTAGCTGAGAGCCCGAATGGCCTGTGGGAAGAAGCTCCTCCTCAGCCTCTCTGTACTTTGGTTGAGGACCTTCACTATTTTCCTGGCCTTGTTCCAGCACCTCTTGCTGTAGATAGTGTGTAGGTCAGGGAGCTCTGTACGGATGGTACGCCCAGCTGATCGCACCACCCTCTGTAGAGCCCTCCTGTCCTGCTGGGTGCTGTTTCCAAACCAGGCTGTGATGATTCCCGTCAGGATGCTCTCAATGGTGCAGGTGTAAAAGTTCCTAAGCACGTTAGAGGGCAGTCGAAAGTCTGTCAAGCGTCTAAGGTGGTATAGACGCTGTTGAGCCTTCTTCACCAGGGTGTTAACATGGCAAGACCATGACAGGTCCTGCGCGACCAAGGTACCGGAAACTATCCACTCTCTCCACTGGGGTCGTGTTGATTGTGAGGGGTTGGTAGCTCCTCTCCTGCTTTATGCTGAAGTCCACAATCAGCTATTTGGTCTTGCTGACGTTCAGGAGGAGATTGTTCTCCTGGCACCAATGCTCCAGGCTTGTTATCTCCTCCAGGTTAGCTCCTAAAACAAAGGAACAAGAGCTTCTTTTCTCATTCACCATTTTCCAATGATGTTCAATGTCATATTAATGAGAAATACAATACAGACGTAGTGGAGACGTTGTTGTAAACACTGAGCTGAAAGTCCCAGAATGCAATGCAGGCATACATAGTATACTAGTTAGGTTGAGTTATGGATCAGCTAGTTAGCGATCTATGATATGATGAGTGTGATGGACAGACTAAACAGCTGCTGCATCGCTCTCTTTAGGTAGATTTGAAGCGAGGGCTAAATCCTACTGCACCACTATAAGCAGGTAGTCGAAT